ACTAGCAACGTATCTTCACAGACTAAGAACTATGAGATAGCCCTTCTCATTTTGGGGTGCATTCTCTCTTCCTTTTTCCAACTTGCCTTTTTATATTATAATTTATAAAAACTCATTTTTATCAATAAAAGACAATCCTTTTTATCCAATTTCAAACATATATCTACAAGAGTAAAGCTAGGAGACTAATTTTGGAAACTAATATTTGAGAACTAAAGGACATGTAAGTTGATGATTGGTTTATTATTTAAGCGTTGGTAGACGTGCTCATTCTTATTGGTAACACATTATTTAGTTTGTAAATTTAGTCTTCCTAGCATTACTCATATAGACCACTTGTGTGCCTTTTCATTATTCTTTTATTCTATTATCATGGTTTCCACTAGTAATAAATAATACATATATGTTTCCCAAAGCATAGTTTTCAACACGAAACGTGGTGAAACTGCTTCTCTCTCCCTCATCCACTCGTTGTGTCCCTTGTTGTCCAATTGATATGTATTTGCTCTTCAAATTATATAATTTACAAGTAAAGAGAAATTTGATACTTATAAATTTTAAACTAAGAAATAGTAAAAATAATACCATTACATTTTATTGATGAACTCATCGTATATGGAAGTAGAATTTAAAGTTTTTAATTTAAAAATAAATAAAATATTACTAAAACGTAATACTAAATGTCTCAATAATTTGAATTAAATTATTGTACTGTATTATTGTGCTCGGGAAATTATGTGCCGTCGTATATTTCAAGTCTGTTGGGCCCGTAATCGTTCCAACAGAATCCAATCACTGTGCTGATTTTTGGGCCTACGACCCCCTACTATACCAAAGGCCCAAACTCTTCCCATCAAGCATGCATTATATAATGGCCTCTAAATGGAGAAAAATATAAATCAGAAAAATATTAGAGTGGGTTGATTGACTCGGCCTGAATCACCTAATTTCCATCCCTCCCGAATTACCTAATTGCATCCGTCTTGCTTTCGTGATTGAATGAACATGTATAAGAGTTGCATGTTTATAGCATAATGTTAGACTATGTCGTAGTCCCACGTGACGGAGCGTGTTGAAGAATAGAAGAATCCCACACAGCAACCTCCCCTCCCTAATCTCTCCCCTCAACTTTGACCCTGGCGAATTGGGGTTAGGATATAAAACAACAAAGTGAGGTCGGATGTATGAATTCTAAAATGCCACTGTGCTCGGTTTTAGGATTCATACAACCAACCGCACCTGATGGGATAAGGTGAAACTGAAAGTTACACACATGTAAGTTGTAAACCACAAGGTAAAACGTAGTTAACCCGAAATTTCAGAAGTGCTGCCAAATTAAATACAGATTATGAATACTTTAGGCAATAAGACGTAAATAAGCATATATTCATTCAAAGACATAAAAGGTTGAAGTTTCTCAATGATACTATAATCTAGCGAACGATGTCTCTTGACAGAACTGCAAATTCACAACTCAGCATTTCGAGGGTGGACCTTTTGGCACAGCTCCTGTTACATGTAATGAATAGACAGAAGACCGAGGTTGCCAGGGAAACTAAGATGTCGCAACAAGTGAGCTCGCAGATCACGGGTAAGGAACTAAGCATGTCGCTACGAGTGAGCTCCCGGACCATGAAATAACTGATACCGCTACCTTTCTGCAACGCTGGATCATAATCTATTCATGACCTCAGAATCCCGCAAGCACAAGCACATAATCTTACAGTTACACAATAACGAAATCTCTCCAACCACCACTCAAACTTCACCAAGCTGACTCCACGGGGATACACCTTGCGTGGACATCACGCAGCAGGCAAAAGAACAGACTTTGGAAATGACACAGATCCATTGTTAGGAGCACCCTGAATATTGAGAATCGTTGTGATCAAATTGTATATGTGGACATTTTCAAAACTAGGAACCTTGCGACCTCTTTCAAACCGAGGACCATGCCCAACAAATATGGTCCTCATGGAAAAAAAAGCATTGTCATAACCATGTGCTCCTCCACATTCTCTCCCTTTCGTCCTCTTTTGTTCTACCTTAAATCCCTCTTCAACCAACCCTACTATAGGCGTAATTCGATCACTCGCTGCATAATGAAGCCGACTAGGAAGCTCCTCCTTAAGATACACTCTCAAATTCTTCCCATTCTCAACCTTCCCCGATTTCAACCCTTCATTCATCTTCTCAACAACATTCACAGGATCAACACCCGAAGGCGGACGAATGGTGAGCACTGGAGTATGTGACTGGACCCAATCATTAGGAATTTCAATCCAAGGGGCCAAATCACTTAAATAAATTAGCTTTTTATCGCATGTACCAACCATCCCATGATCACCCACCATAATTATAGTAACATCCTCGAAAACCCCTTTTTTCTCTAAACCTTCAATCAACCTCCCAATCATTTTATCAATTCCAGCAACAGCTTCAGTAATCTCCGGATCATCAGGCCCCACCTGGTGACCCTGATGATCGGGATCCTCGAAGTACAGAGTCATAAACACAGGAATTTCACTACTAGGCATATCAAAGTAATTCAAAACGGTATCAACCCGTTGTTCGAAAGGAACAGAGCTATTATACTGCATACAAAGCTTATCAGGGCAAGTCCAAGAACCTTTAATTACCTCAGAACCAGGCCAGAAGTAAGTGGCAGCCTTCAAACCATGATTGGCCACCGTCTCCCACAGCGGCTCGCCGAGCCACCACTTGGGTTCGTGGCTTGCCATGGTGAAGGACTCCCCTGTGCGCGGGTCCACAAAGTGGTTGTCGACAATTCCATGGTAAGCAGGGTAAAGACCAGTGACAATTGAGTAATGGTTGGGAAATGTCAGAGTTGGAAATACCGGAATCAAACCCTCTTCCGCCTCCGTCCCGTTGGCGATGAGGCGGCGGATATTCGGCGTCGGCGCCTTGAATTGGTACCCGAATCGAAACCCATCTGAGGAAACCAAAAGTACAACCGGATGATCGAGTTTTCTCAAAGCTCGAGCCTTGGATTCCAGTGACGAGGACTCGTAGACGGGCGCGGATTTCGGTGAGTTGGAGAAGAATAGAAAGGCGAAGGCGAAGGCGGCGGAGAGAGCAACGCAGGTGGTGAGGAGGAGAGAGATGAAGATGACGGTGGTGCTGGGTTTGTGAGAAGGGGAAGACGATGGGACCGGAGAGGCGGAGGGGTCAGTGTTGAAAGAGAGCAGCGCCGCAGATGGGTTCGGCGAGTCTTGGTCGTGGGTCGGGATCGGAGTGGCTTTCACGGGCGTCAAATCCGAACCCATCCGAAGAAACCAGGTGATTGTTTCTGGTTTTGTTTTTCGATGGGTCGGAGATTGAAGGATTTGGGATGTGGGTTTAGGGGTGAGGTGTTTAGAGAGAGAAAGTGTGGAGTTGGAGTGAGAAGCAGGGATAAGGTTGGGTCTTTGGGTGGAGTTGCCGACGGTGGTTTGGTAGAGATTTTGGAGAAGACCACTTGTTATTGACTTTTTGGTGGACTTAATTTGAGCTGGAAGGAAGGTTTCGAGTCGAAGCCGGATCCTCTTTGGCTCCGGAAATTCGTAAATCGTATCCATCAATCGTACATTGTGCGATTAAAAATTTTAAAAATATTTTATTTAAAATTAAACACAAATAATACCTGATAAAAACTAACCCTATAATATAGGGTAAATGAACATAATAAATGGATTCTTAAAATCCGCACCAAAGGAATTTGAAGAGGGAAAATTTTTAGGTGTACCGGGTACACCAAATTTTTTTGGTGTACCCTCACTCATTAGAATTTTTTTGGTGTACAAAAAGTGAGGGTGCACCAAATTTTTTTGGTGCACCCTCACCATTATGAGTGAGGGTACACCAAATTTTTTTGGTGTGCCGGGTACACCGAAAAATCCCTCTTTGAAGAGGATCTGTTGGCTACGAGTCTACGACGCCGAGTTTGCTGTTAGATTTGGCGCATCCAAACGGTAAAAATACGGAGAGAAATACGCATGTGTACAATTTTTGTATTTAATATTTACTTCATTCATTTCAAGCTTACTTTTTCAATAACACGTATTAAAAAGGACAATATTCTCATTAAAAAAAGAAAAGAAAGAGACAATGCTTAAATCCAATTTATGTGGCCAGTGGGGGTACCTTCTTGTCTACTTTTGTGAATAATGTATTTTAGAATTTTTTTTTTTAGATATCATATGAACTTATATAGAAATTTGGCATAAAATCGAGTATAATTGCATTAAGATTCATATAACCAATTGCATTAAGATTCATATAACCAACCTTATTTAATGTGATAAGGCTTAGTTGTTATTTGTCATATGAATTTATAAATCTATTTCAATTTTGTCTTACGAACTAAAATTTTAAGAAAATCTCTCATATCCATAATTAAGTCACCACTATATTGTGTTTACGGTTATTTCAGACTTTAGACTTCTTTTTCATTTCATTGCTTGTGAGCAGATAATTAATAAAATCAATTTCAAGTTTTTATATTTATCATTGTTTTAGAAGACAATTATATTTCAAGAACATGTGTTATACGTCTTGAGGACTATATTGTTAGAAAGAAATTCGATCAGAATTCTACATGTCGTTGTATTAAGTTTTATGTTTGTTGTACCATATAAAAATTATTAACTGATTACGTTCAAGTTCAAAGGCACTAAGTAATGAGAGAAGGTTGCTTATAGTTCACCACAAAATTTTGCTTCCTAAAAGTAGTAGATTTACAAGATACGATCTAAATTTTCAACTAATTTGAAAAATACATGTTTGGATTAACCTTAAACACAAATCATATGTAAGGCACATAAAGATGAAAAACATTAAAAAAAAATGTGAATTTGCTAAAAATATAATTAATAATAAATTAAAAGTATGTTTAAATTCATATATGACATTTAAAAAAAAAATTAATTCTAAAATAGACAAGAAAGTAAGACAATTCAAGAAAAACAAGAACAATGGTGGAGCAAAACGACGTCATTGAACCCTTCAGAAAACGAAGTAAGGTGTGTGCTTGCAGATACCGAGAGTGTTAGATCGAGCAGACAGAGAGATGGCGTACTTGAGCATGGGAGAAGCTCACAGAAGAATTACCGACTACCTCAGCCGCTTCTCCGATGCAGTTTCGACCCAGGACGGAGCTTCCCTCAAGCATCTCCTCTCTCTCTCCTCCAACAGCCCCGCCCTCCTCTCCCTCGCCGACGCCCTCAACGTCTTCCAGGTAATACCTCCTCACCAATGTGTATATTTGTATACGTATTTGTATTTGTTTCAATTTGGGAATTTAGGGTTTTGATTGGTGAGGGTTTTGTGTGACAGGACTTCAATAGATTGATCAAACAGTCCGATAACGACTCGCAGTTTGGCGAAATTCTGGTGCATCTCTTCCGGGCTTTTCAGAGCTACCGAATTGGGAATTTCATTGATTCCTATCAGGCATATGAAAAATCTGCAAAGTATTGATTTTTTTTTTATTGATTCTTTGTTTTATTTAATTCTGTTCTGTGGGAAATTTTGTATTTGGTTTTGGTTTTTGACTAATGTTAATGGTGGATGTGCAGTGCTTTTATTCAGGAGTTTCGGAATTGGGATACGGCCTGGGCTTTGCCAGCATTGTATGTCATTGCTTATGAGATTAGGGTTCTAGCTGAGAGGGTAAGACCCCCAGTTTCCTTTTTTATTTAATGAAAAGAAAATTAATATGTACTTTATTATTGTTCTGTCAAGATACGTGCTTTATTTAGTAATTGGTTGCCGATATGTTGGGAAGACGAATTTAGTAGGACTGGCCTGTGTGCAACTTTTGTAGGCTGATAAGGAATTGGCTTCTAATGGAAAGTCTCCAGAGAAGTTGAAGGGAGCTGGTTCTTTCCTTATGAAAGTCTTTGGCGTTCTTGCTGTAAGATTCTTTCTTTTGATATTCAATTTATTTCGCTACTTTTACTAAACTTTGTTTTGTATTCTCTTTGCAAGAAAAGTTTGTTGCTTTACTAAAACTTCTATACAATAAGTGTTGATATTTTCTTGGGTGTTTACGAACAATTGTTTGAATCTGTACTGCTAACTCTTTCACTGGTGTATCCATTATAGGGAAAAGGCCCGAAACGTGTTGGAGCATTATACGTCACTTGCCAGTTGTTTAAAGTTTACTTTAAGGTAATTTTTTCGCACGCTTATGAGTTCAGTGCTTTTAATATCTGAATTAGCTATTAGGGTATCTTTTGAATGCTGAATAAAACACAAATAGCTAGAGCTGCACTATGATGAATTATCTTTATTACTTTGCAGCTTGGTACAGTTCACCTTTGCCGCAGCGTCATAAGGAGCATTGAAACTGCGCGAATATTTGATTTTGAGGAATTCCCTAAGAGAGATAAGGTCAGAACTGCCCTTGGTAGAGCAGATGCAATTTTCCTTCCTTTCCTTTTCATCCCCCTTTTCTTTTGAATTTGTTCTATATCTAGAACTAGTTTTTATGTTTGTTCTCACTGTTATACCATGATATGCAGGTCACCTATATGTATTATACAGGTCGTCTGGAAGTTTTCAATGAAAATTTCCCCGCTGTAAGTATTCTAATTTTCATGATGTTAATGATGCCTTCTTGTATATTAAACTTTTAAGTGGTGGTTTGGTTTTGGTTATGGAGTTACCCTCTGGAGTCTTGAATCAAAAATTTATACACATTGGATGAAGAAGTGAGCAGTTCCATACTATGCCTTACCATATTTTTAAGTAAAGAAATTGCTTACTAGTTACCACTGATAACATCCAGTCTCAGCAGATGTGTGTTCAAATTATAGATTTAATCCAGTGGATGATTGATCTTATACTTCGCCTGAATTCACTTATTTCTATGCATGCAAAAAGCTCTAAAACTGAAAATCTGAATTTCCATCAGGCGTGTGCTATTCACTAAATCTACTTTTGTTACCTTGCAGGCTGATCAGAAATTATCATATGCCTTGAAGCATTGCAATCCTCAGCGTGAAGTAAATATAAGGTGAGGTTCATGTGTGCTTGTTGCATATGTTTTGCATCTGCATGATAGACTTTAGGGGGGTATCTAGACAAAATGATTGTTGTTGTGACTATATATTTAAGGGCGTATCATCTTTTTGTTTGTGTGATGTTGAACTTCTTGCGACAGGAAGTCAAACAATCGATTTGGGATATGTTGTACTGTCTTTTATTGTCCGACTCATTGTTTCTCTTTTTGTATTTACTAGGATGATATTGAAGTATTTGATACCTGTGAAGCTTTCATTAGGCATCTTACCAAATGATTGGCTTCTGGAAAAGTATAACCTGGTTGAGGTATGGCAGTCCCTTATTTATTTGCAAGAGATATTATTTAATGCTTGATGATGGGAAATGAGATAATCCGGTATTGCTTAGCTATGTTGCTTCCCCCTCTCCCGTTTTCCAAAGTCGTGGCTAAACCCTAACTTATAACTTCTTGCTTTCGCAGTATAGGAATGTTGTACAAGCTCTAAAAAGAGGTGATCTTCGACTTCTTCGGCGTGCTCTTGAAGAGCATGAAGATCGGTACGTGTATGATCCATTTTGAACATCTTGAGATTGGTTAAAATCGATTTCCAAAGATGGAACTGATTCCTTCAAAATGAAACAGGTTCTTAAGATCAGGTGTATATCTTGTCCTAGAGAAGCTAGAACTCCAAGTCTACCAGAGATTAATAAAGAAAATGTAAGTTCTCATGCCGCTTTATAAAATTGATGGTAAAATTCCTCTGAAGATTCAATTCACGACTTCCACAATCTCGTTGTGCAGTTACTTCATTCAAAAGCAAAAGGACCCGGTTAAAGCTCACCAGCTGAAATTAGAAGTAATTGTTAAGGCTTTGAAATGGCTTGAGATAGCCATGGATGTCGATGAGGTACTTGTTTTCTCCACCTCTCTCTCTGGTAGAGTGGTTCTTGGTTTCTCCGTTTCTCGCTAATCAAATATCTGGTGTAATTTGCAGGTGGAGTGCATAGTGGCCATATTAATATACAAAAATCTTGTAAAGGGATACTTCGCTCACAAGAGCAAAGTTGTGGTTTTGAGCAAGCAAGATCCTTTCCCTAAATTAAATGGAAAGCCTGTCAACTCATAGAGAATATCGATACAAGTAGTCAGGTGATGAAAAATACAGTATGAAAACGAGATATGCCGGCCAGTTAGTCATTGGAAACCATTTTTATCGGCCCCATGAAGAATCGCTATATTGTTCCCCTTGTACTTTTAACTTTTTGTGAATCTCAGTATTCTTAGTTAATTTTTAGAACTTAACAGCCATCTTATGTTCCTGTTTATGCTCATTATTCACCCATCAATTTTGTTCGGAGTCGAACCAATGATGTCGTTTATGTCCGTAAACTCGGCTATGGTAAACTCAAACACCGGCGATTACTGTGAAATAAGTACGGATAAAATTCTGTATGACAGAGATGCATAAGCATAATGCACTTTAGAAACTTAACTCATCTGATAAAAATATTGAAAAGGGCATCCAAAATTGTAGTGGTTACTCGAAACACCATCCCAGACCCAAAAATGGGGAAGGAAATAAAAAAAACGAAAACAAGCGAAATCAATTTGTCACTTCAAATATGTAATTGCTTCAACACATAAGCCATCCACCATTGGAATATGATATGTATCTACTTTCCGGCACACGAAACAAACTGTTAAACTTCGACTTTCAAGCACCATCAGAGTTCAGAGGGAAGGGTAGTCTGTATGTTTGAAGGCATCAGAATATTATAACCATCTGCCGCAGTTGAAACGAGCATGCCAGGAATCTGTGTGTGCCAATGAAGTTCTTTCAAGTCCTTTTGTCCCTGTTGACCATAAATTACCATGAGTGAAATGACCGAAAAAGTGGGGCCTCTTGGAGTAGAACAGACAGTCGAATATGTTTACCTGATGAACAAATAGAAGCTGTGGAGGTAAATCTTTTGGAGCATTCACTTCCTCTTTTGTCTTCGCTTTGAATTCTGCCTCTTCCTCCTCATCATTTTCTAAAGAAAGATCCCATATTCTGGTAACAAAAGCCAAATGACAAATATTTTGAGTTCAAACATAAACAGCATGAAAGCATATAAGTTTTTGTGTAGGACATGCCATTTATCACTTCAATCTGGTCTTTAAATATTACTTACGTCAGCTGATTGTCAGAAGACGTCACAGCCAAAGTGGATGCTTCATGTGGACTCCACTCGATGGAGGTGATAGGGTGTTTATGGTATTCGAAATGTGCCACTACAGAATCTCCTTCCTACGTTCAAGTAGACAAAAGAGGACTATATCATTTTAGAATTATCAACTTAATGAATCACTCAAAACAATTTCATTGAACCCAATTTAACACTCATGGGAATTCCAACAAGACGTACCTTCAGCAATCTAAGATCACGAATGGAAAAGGTGCCATCATCGCTTCCAGATGCCAGCATACAACTAGCCAGCCTAATAAAAACAAACAATGAAGTGCCAGGGTCATCATTTCATATGTGGCACAAATGTATCAAAACAAATAACAAATAAGAAAAGAAACATTGAAGGTTTAAATAAACACCTATTCCAAGACATAACATTCACATCAGCATTATGCGCCTTAAAAGAAGTTGCTGGTGCCTTCCCTATGCGTATATCCCATATTGCTATATTCCCATCGACAGAACAAGAGGCAAAGACATCAGGTTCTGTAGGACTCCACTGCAAAGATAAAAGTTTTTTGAAAAGAATACCGTCAAAGGATTGGAAACATTAAGGAAAACTATTCTAACTAGATTGTTAGATTGATTATATGCTTTAAAACAACAGATTGGACTTAGCTTCCCCTCTAAGCTACATACTTGTAAATCCTCCACGCTTGCAATATGTCCAATATATGGGGTAGTATCAACATTCCATGTTGAACCAGATGTAGGTTCCCACAAATGTATATAATTCTTGCAGTCCCCTTTTAAAATCAGACATAAATGAATCCATTAGTTTCAAGCATTCAAATCAAGAAAGTACCATGCCATCACATACACTTGATATAGAAAAAGAAAAAACAAATAAAGTGACTTGATAATAGTACCAGATAGAAGTCTTCCAGGTACAAGGGGACTCCAGTCTAGAGCAAACCCTTCATCCTTATGCCCATATTTAACCAATGGAGCCTGGTTAAATACTGAAGAAGCTCCCTGGCTAGCTTCGGTCTCTGACTCCGCTAAGGCATTTAAATGAGAACTGAAGTCCCAAACCTGAAAGAGCAGCAGGATTAAGTAACATACAAAGTATATGTAAATGGTTGTTTGAGCGTCAGTTTAATATATACTCATACTCATAATCTTGACATAAAGTCTGACCTGCACATGACCAGTGTCTGCCCAAGATGCACATATATGTGGATTTTGAGTCATGGCACGTATACGATTCACACATCCTTCATGAGCTACCTTGCGCAACTGTATATGAGAAGAAAAAAAAATGTCCAGGCACAGAGAAGAGGTCAAAATTAAGAAAGATGAAGGCAAGATAAATCAAGCGTGGAATGTATAAAAAATATTGCCTGCAAAACAGGTGCGCCAGATCCACTTGACTCCTCATCCTCGCTATCATCGTCACTATCACTGTCCTCACTATCCATATTAGAGTCATCATCTACAGCTTTGGCTGGCACTAGCTCGCGCTTTTTCCCAGAAATGTTAGATACTTTAAATATTCCAATAGAGTTCCAAGCAGCTTTCTCTGCCTGAGTCCCAGCAACGATATACACGCTATGGGGGAACTCTGTCCGAACCAACCCCATTGTATCCCGCACAATATCAAAGCTGTCAAAAGTAATTAACTTCTTTTAGCCATTAACTCGAAACCTATAATTCTCTTACAAAGAATGAAACTTGAATTCTTAAATATAACCATTACCAGCAAATCAAGTATAAAATTGAACCTCTAAAACATAATTCAATATTACGAGTAAACGTGAGCTTTCCCGAAACGAAAAAAAAAAGCTAATTATTCACAAACGCTATAAGTCTAAGCTTAGTTCAATAATTCAGCTAATCAGGCTCCAATAATTCAAACCTACAATTCAAAATTTCAACTTTATGCTTTTCCTGCACTTTCTATGCAACCAAAAAGAAGAATCCATAAGATTCAGAGCAACCTTAAACAAGGCCAACCAATATGGAAGGCATGGAGAGAATTGTAAGCTGATGGGTCACACTGGAGCTCTTCGCCCTCCTCTAACTTGTCCAGTCCCGGTTGCCATACCTTCGCCGGCATCGAGGGTCCCGAAGAGGAAGAAGACCCATCTCCTTTCTTTGAGCCCTAAACAAAAATTCAATTCAATCAAATCAATTGGGGAAAGGATAAAAACTAATTTTACTGAAATAATTAAACAATAAGAGAAGAAGGAAGTGGATTTTGGAGCTGACCTTGGCCTTTCTTTTGGCTTTCTTAGGGTTCTTGATGCTTCTGACCATTTCTAATTCTTCAGATTTTGCAGGAATACGGAGACTCTGATGAAGGAAGGTGCAGGAACACGGAGACTCTAATGAGGGAAGGAAGGAGAAGAGAGCAAAACTGAAGAAGGTTTTGGTGGGGCTAGGGTTTTAGCTTATTGGGCTCAGCCTTTATGCTAATAATATGCTATTGTTTTTTGGCCCAAAAACAACTTTTTGATACTGTAGTCCAATGGGCTTGTGTTGGATTGCCAATCGTAACTCTAAAAATTTCGACATTTGATAGTATATTTGGATGAGTAAAATAAATTTTAAATTTGGACAAAAGTCAAAATTTTTATCAAAACTATACACTAGACATGGATATTTCTTGCCTGATCCATTAACCCTACCCAAAAGGATACGACTCGTTAACGAATTAGGTTATCGTTTGATCATCTGTTAAAAACATGTTAAAATAACAAGTTTGACACTATATATTAAGATAATATACGATAAAAAAACGATATGAATACGACAAACGCGTCCCGTTTGCCATGTCTAGGTACGCACTCGTTTTGGTAATTTGCATCTCCATTATATATGGAGGAGTATTGGAAACCGCAACAGTCCCAAAATCAGCCATGTTTTATATTATATGCACTTGTATATTTTGTCTGTCATAATTTTTCATGGTTATTTTATTTTTTATTTTATCTCCAACAATTCTAGCTAAATTTTTGTTGATTTGGCTAGTCACAACTTATAACAAATACTATTTATTTTAGGCTAAGCTAAAATATTTTTAATATGATTTTTTCCAAACTTAACAACCAAGCCATTTTTAATATCCTAGTTTTTAATGTTTAATAGAAATTTAATTTTCTCTCTCCTCCTAACTAAATCTAGCAAATTACTCTTCTCAAAGTTAAGATAGTCGTTTAAATAGCCTGTTGGAGCTTAATTATTATTATTATTTTTTGTTAAAGTAGCCAAAAAATGTTAATTTTCTAGGTTGGTAGAGATGCTCTTGTTGCTACATATACACTACTATAATACTATAGATCACCTCATTGGCTACATAAAGTGGTCGTTCAAATCAATGTACGTGCACATTTACAACTCCGTACATTATCTTTAAATTTCGATAATCTAAAACATAGGGGAATTATAAAATGGTAGTGCTTTTTATACACCCATTTATACTTCTTCTACATTTCTCTCAAATTTTGGCTATCAGATCGAATAAATTGAAGAACATCTAAGACAAAAGATTAAAAGACTATTTATAAGTAAAAATAGGTATATGAATAACACTAACCTTATAAAACCCATTTACTTGCTATACACTATTCACAGAGAAACATTTGCCCCAATAGGATCCTCTTTGGATTCTCTTTGTGAGGATTTGGGGATCCATGAATTGTGTCCATTCATTGTACATCATGCGGTTAGTTTTTGTTAGGTACTATTTGTGTTTAATTTTAAATAAAAAAAATTTATAATAATTTCTGACCGCACGATATACGATAAAAGAACACAATTTATAAACCTTCGAAATCTTTACAAAGAGAATCCGACAGGAATCTGAATTCATTTTGCCATAGTTTTACAGAAATGGTAGGGACTGGAAATTAAAATAAATACTCATCCTGCATGATCTTATCTTGTCTTCTCTGTTTAACTGTTTTTTCTTTGTCTTGTAAGGAGAACAAGTGTGCCAAAGCCAATCATAATTGCAACCTTTATTGCCTGGTAAGAGAAATGGGAGCACAAAAAACAAATAAATTAGATATGAAGCTCCATTTTGTTTTTAATTTTAAGTTTTCACATTTTGGTCAGAAACGCAATGAACAAAAAGGATATATATATATATATCTATTTTTTTTTATTTATTTATTTAGAAATAGATAGATAGATATATTAATAAAAATAGAGGAAGGGTGGCGGAAAAGATGCGGAAGAAATGCACATATAAATAATAGTGTATAACACGAAAATAAAAAACTGAAAACGATTTAAATGGGGTTTTCTTATATTTGTTTTTTTTTTAAATATATATTTTGTATGTCATTCCATCTGCATTTCTCATTCCTCCCTCTACATTCTTGATTCATCCATTATTTTGTTTACTTTCTCTTCATATCTAGTTAAAAAAAGGGTGCCCTAATAATACGGAGAAAACGTATAACCTGCCCAAATGGCCCCCCAAAAGTTCCAGCCTCCTCGGATGAATTCTCAACCTTTGATCTTCTTCTTTGATTCTCCTCATTTTTATCCACATTATGCTACAAGTGATCACATAACACATAAGGTAAAAGCAAGATTGTTCAGCACTGTAATGACCAACAAGTTACCGGAAGTTCAGCTGAAAATTCCATACCTCTTCAACGTTTTCTGGTAGTGAAAAATTCGTCTCTCGTTGATGGATGTTTGGATTCTCTCTGCAACGGCCTCGCGAATCTATCATTTTTTTACCAGTAGTTGTTACACAAAAGCGTATCGCTTCATCTGGAAAAATCCAGGCACCGGAGCTCTCAAAGGGAATGTGCCTATCTTCACAGTTTGCTACTGATGTGCATAATACATTGGGACCGGAATCTTCTTGAATGTGCCTATCTTCCAAGTTTGCTTCTGATGTACATACATTAGCACTACATGAAGGTCCTTGAACGTCGGTGATTTGAGTATTTGTCGAAGAAACTTTTACTCGACTCTCCTCTATACCTTTGATGCCACCAGAAGGTTGCTTTCCATGCGGCATATCAGAAGGTTCGTGCCTATGCTTACCAAGAATCTTCTCCAATACTTGAACCGTTTCAAATGCTGATGGTCTAACGAAATCTTTGGGAAAGTTACCTTTCTTTATGTCAGCTACTTGGTGTACATCTAATTGTTTGAATTTATTCTTTATCCCAGTGGGATGTGAAGATTTAATCGCATCCGAAGCTCCAAAACTAATTTGGTGCCCGATTTTTTCACCAGATGTTAAATCAAGATTCAAGTCTCCTGACCGAAAGGGATCCTCTATCGCTTTTGATATTGACTGTGTAGTTTCTGTACTTATCACATTCTTGTGTTCTTCTAAGTTCTGGCTTTCCACAAGAGCTCCTGTTTTAATCTTATTTGATCGAACTTGTATTGGTGGTGATTTGATTCGAGGACTCACATCCTGCAGTTGAAGCAAACATTATGCATCATTATTATGGAAGAACTAGTTCTATCCACTCGAAAAAGCATTTAATCATCTCTTATAAGGCAACATGCCAGACATACCTCAGCTGAACCGCTTTCAAAGGCGCTTATCATTTTCTTTACACTGATAGGAGTTGTCTTGATCGGACCCTGCTTCTCGAGGTTTCGAGGCCTATCTTCCTGAAGATTAGGATGATTTGTTGCGCCAACAGCCGATTGTGAGCCTCTTAATACTATTGAAGTTGTATCCGCAGAAGTGGCTGTGGATGGAACATTAGCGGGAAGTTGTTTTGGCTCAGCCTTCTCCACTAATCTCCCTTCATACGATTCATTTACTGGGAGCTCAACACTCTGATGTAGTGTATTGGCTGATGAAGTCTCTTTGTTTCTATCTGCATCACTCTGAAACAGGTTAAGTGATCGTTAAAACAACTCGCGAAAACAAAAAGGTTATTCTCTAAATTGATCAAATTCTGCTTCTGATCATAATAAGCACTTCTTATTCCAATTACTATCTGAAAACAAAATTATTAATCTACAAAAACTTTTCTAACTTTTCAAGGGAAGGATTTTCTCATGCATTCGGAACATCCAAAATATCCCTCACGAAAAGAGAAATTTTAAAACCACATAGAAAACTAAGGACTTGTCACATTATTCTTTCCTGTTACATTATGCCTGAAGATTCTAAATTTTCTTGTTAAGCGATTAAGATTGAACCTGAGACCTCTTCGCGAAGGTTCAAAGATGATGCAACAACATTCACCCCAGCACTTAGAGTACTTTGCACACTGTTGGTACTACTATTGATCAACTCCCCTTGTTTCTTTTTCAGTGCAGATTCTCTCTGCAAGAAAATTCAGATTATATACCAAATGCAAGTTGCATACTTACGACAACTATATGAAATTTGAGTACAAACTGAAATTAATCATTCAAAACCAAAAGTCAAAACTAGCAACGCAAGAGAATACCATCATTCGGATTCTGTTGCGCTCTTCTTCATTGAGTACAAACTGCAACTTCATACGCACAAACCCGCCTTCATTGAGGGGAAACAAGTCTTCCCAAAGACCCTTCTCAACTATCGACTTAACTTCAACGCCTGATCCAAAAATGATCATACATATTAATCTGCATCACTGCTTTTTGTAGACAAAAACAAGAGAAAGTTTATACATATAGGAATTGTTTTGACAAACCTGCATGTGATATCTCATTACCCTCAGAATCTTGAAGAAGAACAACCAAATTGTCGCGGAGGGATGTCAATACGCTGTCCATAAACACAACCAGGATAAGATACGAATCGAATAACAACAGCATTTATGATTAGAAGCAGTTTTATGATTATTACAAGGTGAAGTCTCCCTTGTCCCAAGCTTGGCACTCTCTTTGTCCCATAGAAACTGCAACGTGTATTCATTCAGTGAGTATTTTGTTAAATTGTTAGAAATTCTAGACCGAAACTAGAAGAACGAAATTAAGCTAATAAAAGAGATAATTGCTTACCCTTGATGGATATTGAGGAAGAAGGTAGGTCTATGAACTCAAGGACTGCAAATTCAGCAAAACGTGAAGAAAAAGAAAAAAGTTGACATATGTTGGACATCACTGACTTTTTAAAAATAGGATTAGGCGAGATTAGCTCATCAGCGCCTTTTCATGTTTGAATTATAGTTGAAAAATAGCTTTTAGTACCTGAAACTTTGATGGTTCCTGGCATTGCAGAGACAAAGAATTGGCAAACTTCTGTTTTATTTTTTATTTTTAAGATTTGTAATAATTGGATGAATGGTTGAGGGCTTGAAGGTGGGAGATGGGATTGGATGGGAAGTGTGGATATCGTTAGAGGAGGGAGATTTGGTGTACAACAATGGTGGGTCCTTCATTAACTGTTAACCACATCAAAGTCTTCAACCCAAAGGGCTGAGAGGAAAAATGACAAAATTTTTATCATCTGTCCGACTTGCCTAAGAACTGGTCGCGCTCCCAAAGGAGGCACTCAATGACGGAAAATTCGAAGGTACACCCGTGAAGCTGTCGAACTGAGGTGCGTTCACCGGTGAAACTGTCAAACTCAGTTGCACCAGTCGAACCACATGGTTGTGCGGCCACACATACAGAAAAAGGGTTTTCCGTATTCCCTGCTTTCTGTTTCTACCCGTGGTCCCATCAGAATGGAAGAAAGGTTGAATGCGGCGGTCGTATACAAAATTCTCTCCTCAAATGACCATTTACCTTCATTAGTATGATGTTTTAGATAAATTATTCTTCAGTTGAGTACTAATGACAAATCTGAATTGTTAGTTTAGTTTTGCATTCATCATTTCGTACTATATTATTCTTTTTCGGATTAATACGAGATGAGAAATTCAAACTTGAGAGTCCTTGTGAGGAGAAGTACTACTAGATTAAGACTAGTCGTTTCCATATTCTCATATTATGTATGTGAAAAGACAAAAAATCTAATTTATTGCAACAAATTGCCGACACAAGATACAGATAATTCTCATGGACAAGGGATATCCTTAAGTTGTGCAAATATTGGCATGATAATCTGCGGCTAACATGTTACCTGCGCTAAAACATAGTAACATATTAATCCGCTGAAATCAACCTAGTTAAAAATCCATTTCCCTGTATAAGATTCTATCGGTAAAGAGAAGCACCAGCTAAAAACTTGGTACCAATTCTGCACGGATAAAACTGTTTAAGATTGTATCTTCTTCTTCGCTTTTTTCGGGGTCTGCTTTGAAATGTTTGATGTTGCTAGGCAGCTGCATTGTCACATATCCCATGTCTCAGAAGTTGTACTGGTTGTTGTAGGAGTTGTTGTAGGAACAGAGGGCACTTCTACTACAGGTTTGTGATTTTTGACGCCTGTTTCTGATTTCCGTTTCAATGTGCCAGGATCTCGCTTCTTGATGCCAATAAACATGTAAGCTGCAAGAGTTCAGATGCAAGTTGGTTAATCCTGTCTTTGAGGTTAACTTTTGAATTCGACAATGATGTTATTCATGCTGTGGAAAATTTGTGTGATAAACACTGACATCAACTAAGGGTGAATATATCTTTATTGAGAAGAAACTATTTCACCAAATGTTAGCTTTTCTCCCCTTTTTTCTTATTTGGTTTCTTAGCCCAAGTCATGAGGTGATGAATATAGCACCTTAAATATCTAGAGTGCGACCCCAACTATTCGCGATCTAACAAAACCATCAATGTGTGCGTGAAGTGGAAAAATAGGCATGTCATTTGACAATTAATCGAACTGATCAAAGTACAAGGGATGGAAGGTGGCTTTTGTTCAGATGGCAGTAGTCTGCTGATTATCAGGGTAGGAAGGGGACTAAACCTTCCTATCGGAAGATTGACCAGGGAGCCAGTCGCACAACTCATTCACAGAGGCACACCCAAATCACAAGCACATGAACATGCACGCAAATAGAAGCATAGAAGGGATATTTCACACAAGGATTAATATCTTGATAAAGTAAACACTGGCAACCTCTTGTTTCACGCAAGGGATGTGATACCCGTATCAGTCATACTCAGTTCATACTTCCCACGGGAACTGCTTTAACAACATCCAAACCACCTTGCCCCGTCCCGCTTTTAACAAATAGGGAAAAAAAATTAAAACATTTGGATTAAGAGGGAAAATCCCAAAGGACAAATGGATGTATACTTCTGGCAAGGTTTCAGGTTTCTGTCGATCACAAGACAGTGAAGAATACCTTGTATAGTTGGTGCTAGAGATGTGAATAACAGTTTCTATAGATGGAGTAATCTAACATCAAATTGTCAATGAAATTCAGCATTACTGGTACACTGACACTACAGCCATCAGAGTAATTAAATTTCTTCCCGTACAAAAGCCATCACGGCAATCATTCCAGCAAGATTCCCTAATTAAGGTTTGCTCGTTAATGTTAACTTACTACCACTTTATTTTAAAACTCACGCTATTAATCTTTTTAATTTCTATCAGGCCACAACCAAGGCCTTCCAAATTTAGAAATTCAAATTTCCATCAGCATACCGCACGAACAACCACACGTCTTATTACCTACACATAGTGAAAGCTATCCGAAATCGGTTGCCTATGACATTAATTCGCCGACTAGGACAAAACCATACCAATTACAATAACATCCATCAGTTTCAACCTTATGTTTATGATTTGGTCCCCAAAAAACACCCTAAAGACCTTGACCGAAATCGGACAAGGGGCTGAAGAGACTCAACTTTTTCCTTCTCTCTCACTGGATCCCTATTCTATGAGCACCATGACAAAACAAATTACACTTTCCTAACTTAGCATTTAACAACAAATACAAATTACCCATCAAACATTCTAAGCTTAAAAACGCTTCTATGGGACGACAAATCAAACACATTACGTACAAAAACGAAAACACGCATTCCAAATCACTTAAATCAAACTTCTGCTCAGATAAACAAAACCCATAACCCAATTTTGCTCAGACGCTCAAACGGTAAAAAAAATCTAGGGTTTTACAAACCCATATCCATAAGCTAATAATCTAATGCAAAAAATCACAGAGAAAGTAGAGCCGAAAAGATGAGGAAGCTGGCTGACCTCCGAGAACAAAATTGGAGATCATGAGGACTCGCCAAATGAACTTGTAGCGGTTGATTGGTAGTTCCTTCGCCGGTAAGGACGGCGGCGGCGATGGCTCCGGCATCTCTCTCCCGGTGTTTGACTGTGCGTGCAGAACGCAAGTAATATACGAAGTCCCCTTGTAGTCGTTAGTTAACTGATTTTTAGGACTCCAAGAAGAATCAAGATGCTGAGAAAAAACGGGGAGAATAGTACGACGTGTCGTTTCATTCAAGGATAAAGGGGCCTAAAAATGTTACTGGGCCGAGTTAGGTCCAAACTTTAGACGGGGCACGCTTTGACAAATGTAATAAGTCCATGAAAGCACAATGTTCCAGAAAACCTAAGTTGGCCATATGTTTATAACACCTCAAAAATCAAGCACCTTTCATTTCCGTGACAAACTTAAATTCTTATTTTCTCCATTTTTTTAATGTGTAATATAGCAAGAATTCATACTATGCAATTTAAACATAACAAGTGGCTTGTAGCTCAGTTGGTTAAGAGTATTCATCATTTCATTTGAGGTCCTATGTTCGAAGGGTAGTTCACCCTTCCACTTGAGGTCCGTGTTCGAATCCCCTCCAAGTATGAGCCCGACCTACTCAATTAAGTCTAGTTAATAGTGTTTGTATCATACTTGACCAATCCCGAAACTATCAAGCATCGGTCAACTTCATACCTTCAAGGACCCACTGAGGGATTCATGCTAAGGCACCCCTGCAGAAGCACAAGCGTTTCCCTTCACCCAAGAGGCCAATCACATCACAACACGTGTCAACGTCAGAATAAAGCACCTAGATTCCCACATCGATAGCGGACAACAGTTGGAGACTCTTCTCAACTATAGAAGAAGACCATTATCCTACATTTAAGGATGAATGCAATTACTGTACTTAAACTCGTCATTAGAACCCACTAATGATGATTATGCTTGAACCTATGTATTAATGTAAACCCTTCATTATTAATGAGAACTCCTCTACCCTGTGGACATAACCAAACTTATAGTGAACCACGTACATCTTGTGTTTGCTTCCCTACCTCTATCTCTTTACATATATTATCCTCACTAGGTGATCGAAGCAACCGAACGAAGGTCACAAAATTGGCACTTTACGTTGTTCCAAAGTCTCACTGATTTTGTGCATCAACAAATAGTTCCTACATAGCGATCAAGTGATTACTTAAAGGGAAATGCTAGGGAGAATAAATTTTTAAACCAAATGATGTGGTTGTTGATGATTAGATTATCATTTAAATGTTGATTAACGTGTTTATTTCTCAAAATATCTTCTTTCTGAAGAGACAAACAAGTCATTGATCCTATCTCTCTTGAAATAATTTGTTTGTTTTACTTATTGTGTAGGGTTTTGAGAGGTCAAAACCTTCCGTGTGAGCGTGGCTTAATTAAGAGTGAGCCACATAAATCTATAGTGTTGTCTGAATGCATGTAGCTCAATTTCTGTTTACAAACTGCAACCTTAAACGTTAAGTCTCGTTTGGCAGCTTGTATAAGAAATCGGATAATATTGATAAGAGTGATGTTAGAATTAACACATATTTGTACTATTATTTGTATCATCTCTAATAGAGGTAGGGTCTACCAATACATATGGATCTCATCTCTATTAGAAAGATTATACAAATGATGGTATAAATATGTAGTAAGAGTAACATTTTTGTAATAATAATACAAACCCGATTGTTTGGTGCTTTATGTGTAAAATAGTCTCATCTCTATTAGAGAGATTATATAGACCCGATTGCCATAGTTCAGATGCCAAATTAGTACTGAAATAATCAGTACAGTTCGACATACCAAACAAGGCTTAGAACTCTCATATATACCCTAGGTTTTTTTTGCATGAACTGCTCAATTATGTCGGGCTAATCTGGAAGGATTATCCAATCTCAATCTCAAACTAATTTAAGTCAACACATGAATTTAAAATTTTTCATACATAGCAAAGCACAAAGATTTGTCATTAACCCAAAACTACTTTGGTTTCTTTCCGTTGTTGTGCATTTGAAAATAATCATAATCAAGTTCAACGTGTCCTAGCAAAAACTTACTAGATAAAAGTAAAAGAAAGAGAAACACAGCTTCCTATGCTTTCCCCAAAAACCAATTTATTATCGTTTTGAAAGAAAAAAAAAAAAGTCCCAAATCTCAATGGTCCAAACTTCTAAAAAAATTGGGAGTAATTATAATATAACACCAACCGATCGACCTTCTGGCAAGTATAAAAAAGGCATGTACCATATTGTTTAGCTAGATGAAAGAGAAGCAAAAGCAGAAATGTAAACCTTCTGTCTACCAGAAAAAAAAAAAATCTTCACCGTCCATTTTTTTCATGGGATACTATTGTAAGAATATGAGTAAGAGTTAAAAATTAAGAGCCGGATCGTGTAAATCTTTGTATGGAAAGTCTTGTTAATGAGCTTGGAGAAATCCTATTTGTTGTAGAATTGTGAGTACTGGAAGTAGTCCAAATTGGCATGGGACTGAACTTAGTTTCACGAGTCTTATTCATTCATATTGTAATATGGATTACTTGTGTGAGTTCCATATTGTAATATGGATTAC